TCCCCCCCCCTCTCTCTCTCTCTCTCTCTCTCTCTCTCTCTCTCTCTCTCTCTTTCTCTTCTCTTTATGAGTGTGTGTGTGTCTTTCTCTCTGTCGCTTTGTTAGTCTTTTCTCTGTGTGTTGTATTTTCACCTTTAGTGGAAGAAAGATAAGGGTAGACCTAAAAAAAATTGCAACAAAAATAAAACGTTTTGATTTGACAGATAACAGTACGTGTAATAACATATTAAACATCGGCATTCGAAATCGTGGAGGAAATGGTTTTAAAATGCGTTAAAAGTTGTCAAAAAAGCACTTTTTTTTTTACGACCATATCGGTGTATCATCATACCTTTAAGTAATTTCAGAGACTATAAAATTATTATAATCTGTGGTAATTTGTACGGATATTCCCGAAACTGAGGTACTCGTCATCGGCATCTGTGCTTTTATGTAAAAAGTATGGGGAGCCAATATTTTAAGAATGCGTTTTCTCACACCCTAAGTTGGAGCTTTTCGGTGGATGTTTGTATACAGTAAAATTTCCCTCTAAAGAATTGCCCCTTGTGCAATTGACATAACAAAGTGTGAATGGTATTCTGGCAGTTGTACAACATAAAAAGAACAATACATGTATAGATGTGACTGTAGGGCACCAGGTCCACATTTCATGTCGCCTATCTTACATAAGTGCAAATTCTTTTTTCAAAACATAGAAAGACTAATCACAGTCCAGTAAGCTCAGCGGGCTGAAAAGCAAACGTCGGTTAAGTCTCCAACGGTTCCAATTTAGCACCCGCAGAATGTTTTATGGCCTGAAAAGAAAACTTTGCAGTCAAACAAAATCGTCGCTCTAAAGGCCTATAAAGTCATTCGCGTGCGAACTGAGACCAAAAGTCAAGACACAATAAAGAAAAGATGAATGGACAACGACTATTCTCTGTTGTCTCTATTCAGTTGCAACTTCAAAATTTTTAAGCAGCCACCATGTTCTGCTGTATTAGAAGTTTCATCTTAAAAAAAAAAAAAGTAAGGACATCTTTGAGACCTCAACATGCTTTAAAGATAGATAGCGGGCGGTTGGCGGGTGCTCTGGTGTGGTTTGCTCCTTCTTTCCTATTAAATATCTATCATCCTTATCTTACCTTCTTCTTTTTATGTTTGTTACTCTCTTGTAACACCTCTAATCTTCTGGCGCTCATATGACCTTATGCAGTTGCGAGCGCCGTAAAACCTCTACTGAAACTAAACTAAAAGATAGATACCGTTCATTACGTTGTATCCTGTCTGAAGGTAAATGAATATGAGCAGATCAATATTCGGGATCTGATGACCATTTTGGAAGATGATCTGCATGAAGTGAATGGCACAGTCTATTTATATGTGAGGCAGCGTGGTGGAATCAGGCTCTCGTCAAAATAGTCTAAGTGAAGAAACTTGTATTTTTCTACCAGTTTGAGAATTTTTATCAAATTTTTCTTTTTTGGCTCAACACCTTTCATGCCCATTAAAGAACTCATTTCAGTGTGGATTTTTCTGAAAACCGTTGATTAAAGGCACAAAAAATGTAAATTTTCATTTACCACGGACTCTTAAGCTAAGGAAATAACAAATCTTTGGCGGCCATTTTCTGACTTATTTTACCTCTAAAATTGGTGACCCCCACCTCCGTCTTTCGCAAATATCTCGACTTGTATTCAAGATGAATGAATATTTTTTTCATCCAAATAAAGACAAGTGAACAAGCTTTAGGATGATACCAATAACTCTACATCCCCAAAATTTGACGAGAGCCTGATTCCACCACGCTGCCTCACATATTATGGACCACAGTACCTGAAAAAGAAACAACTGATGGGGTGCAAGGGAAAGCATAACATGCAGTCGCGCCGAGGGGGTTGCAGACAAGGTGGTGCATAATAAGAAAGTGAGCAAATGGGCAATAGGCTTAGTAGCTAATCAAGATTTCTAGATATTAAACTTTTATCGTCCTTATCTCCCCTTCTTCTTTTTTATGTTTGTTACTCTCTTGTAACACCTCTAATCTTCTGGCGCTGACGACCTTATGCAGTTGCCAGCGCCGTAAAACCTCTACTAAGACTAAACTAAACTAAGATTTCTAGAGAAAGTCAATCAGAATCTGCTGGATATCCCATAATCTACATCTGTCGATATTTACTACTGTTTCTAGATGAAACTGCATAAAAGCTAAAATAAAGTGAAACAATACTAACAACTCACTATGCTCACAATCTGAGAAGATTTAAAGATTTCTAATTACTTCGCGCAGCACCAGGACTTGCTGCACAATAGAGGGAGACAACAGTTTCGATACCCATTCTTCATTGAGTCACCGTCAAAGAGGTTATGAATAGAACTAGAGGTCTAAGCTGTGACGTCACGAGTGTCACATTTGAGGGGCGCGCTGCCATTGCGGAGAGGAATAAAAGGCCAGTCGGTGCACAGTGACACTTTTCTGTCACGGACTAACGATACTTGGCGAAGTCTTTTTGATGTTGATTTCTTTTTCATGTGATCTGCCTATCGCTAAAATGTACTCATAGAGATGTTTGTGATAGTTTACCTTTATATGAGCCAGATCATCTCCAAATAATGCAAATAGGGCCTTTTAGACGTTGAGACCACATGGGTGAGTAAAAACCAGAAAAAAACAATGAATGAGATAGACTTGATGACTACTTATTTTATTGAAATCTTTTGCTGCGCATTGCTCAAACAGTATGTCTAGATTAAGCACCACTGACCACAACAAGGCGCTTGTATCGGCCATTTGGAATCAGCTGCAACTTTAGCACACATTCAAGGCAGGCTGAACGGAAAAGAACCACTGTTGATGTTGTTGAGATGAGAGAATACAATATGTATAAAGTAGCCAACCAGGCGTAACTACCCACCACTATGACCGGCGTAATATTTTGTCTCATTTGCGAAACCGATGCCAAAGAGCATGTGCAACAACAGCAGCTGTTCGTGGAAGATGCCTTGGGCCACAACCATATTAATGCCGGACACGGACGGTCAGACCAGACCATCCTCGGGCACAAAAGAATGCGCACCGGTTCTTTCGTAATGGAAGGTAATAAAAAACGGT